CAAATACTGTTATTGAAAGGATACCTTGCATATCACTATACCTCCTTCCAGTACTCAACTTTTGTCCAGAGTGATCATTGACTTGCTGGATTCTTATCTCTCTTAATTTCTGACCCCCTTTCCCTCACACAGGTGCTGCACTCCTTAACTCTGAACTCGTCCACAGTTCTGTGTTTTGTGGAACTGAGTCTCCCTGGTGATGATGGTTATTTTCTCCAGTAAATTTTTCTCAGTGAGATTCCCTCCTAGGGTGTGAGGCTCGAATGAGTTTCCATGCGTTCTTTGTGTAGATGTCTCAAGACTGATCAAATTACTGATATTTTGAGCCATCTTGGTCCCACCTCAGAAAAGTTTGACCACTTGATTATAGAGCATGGTTTTCAACAATGGAAATCCTGGCATTTTGGATGGTGTTATATTTTGTTTGGAGAGCAGAGATGCGTGCTGAAATATTTAGTAGCATTCCTTGCCTCCATCCACTGATTCCTGTAGCAGTCTTCCCTTCATTTATGACAAATCAAAAGTTCTTCAGATACTGACAAATATCCCTGTGAGCAGAAAAATCAACATCTAGCTCATGCTTTGAAAATAAGTGTTTTGACACCGGAGGTGGGATGAATGTTAGAACACTGAATTCCTGAAACAATTGTATTATGAACAACTTTGTAAATCACAGTGTTTAAATAGATCTTTTTTAAAAAGAAAGGAAAAAGAAAATAACTGTTTTGAATAAAACACTGCATTCAGCATTGAATTGGTATTTGCCTTTGTTTGGTAGCCACACCCAGCAGTCTTCAGGGCTTCCTCCTGGCTCTGCATTCAGGGATCACTTTCGGCAGGCTCAGGGACCATATGGGATGCCTGGGATCGAACATAGGGGGGCCATGTGCAAGGCAAGTGCACAACCCGTTGTATCACTCTGGCCCCAGTATTTGCCATTTTAAGGATACTCTCTATTTATTTTTAAAAAAGCAAATGCATTATATAATGAGTCTGATATTTGAATCCATTCCAAAAGGAGTCTGATATTTGATCTTATTCTGGCTTCTAATTTATACATTTTGTATGTTCCCTTTGTATTGAAATTAAAAAAAAAACTGAGGTGCATGTGTGACATGGATCGAGAGAGAGATTTCCTTCTCTAGCAATATAGAAAGTTTATAATGTGCTACATTTGCCTAATGGTTTTAAACATGATTTTCCATCCTATATGATGCATTTCTTCTAAAAATTACCATCTTGACTAGCATTATTTATTTCAAAATATGAAAAGCGTCATGGAAAATCATAAAATTCCTATAACCTTAAAGTGAAATAGATATATTAACTGTGGGTTTATAGTATGTATGTTTATATATCAAGGAATTAATTTTTATTTGATAAGAATGAAACAATAAAGAGCTCTTCTAAACTACTTTCACTTTAGGTAATTCCTAAGCATCAAATCATATATTACATTAGTAAGACATGTTGCATTTAATGAATAAATAAGAAAAAAATGGATGAACACGTCACAGCTGTATGGGGGTAATGGGTGTGATTAATAATATTATGTCCTATAAATAACTTGTTCTGCTTTGGTAAGATCCTACAAGTTGTAACAACTTCAAAATCCTTCACTTCATGATAGTACAGATTTTCTGGACTCACAACTGACCTCACAAGTACACCAACTCCTATTGAGTTTCCTGTCCCTCCTAAACAAAAAAAAAGCCCATGATTTATATTATATATGTATATAATATATATTAATTATCTGAATATAATCTATGAAATTATATGTATATGTTATACACAGTATGCATTCAAAATTCCAAATTATGAATAAAAGCATCATATAGTATTACATCTATATTGTTATATAATATATATTCCATTCCAAATAAGGGATAAAAATCAAGCTTATATTATTTAATATTAAAAATGGAATCATTGAGTAAAGATGGAAAAATTATTTATTTCAGGTGGTAAAATGATCATGGGCACTTTACTATTATTTGAGCTTTTTATTCTACAACTTGTTAGCAATAACTCTTGCTAAATCAAAATTCCCAGATCAAAAATGAAAAACCAATACACTTTTATAAGTAAAGACAATTCCTTGCTTAGTAAACCTCTTTTTAATCAAAATTAAGAATGAAGTTTGATTAAGGATAAATATCTGCAAAAGAGCACATACAAAAAAATAGGGTAAAAACTGGATTACATGGGCTATAGGAAAAGAGAGGACAAATATGATATGTTAGGTAAAATGTGCTTTTTTTCAATAACCAGATATTGTAATATCCTTTTAATATTAAATGGAGGATCTTAAAGTGTAAGAAAGCATGCAAGAAGTTTTACAGAGAAACACATACCTCTCTGGAGTCAAATAAATCAATGAGTGTCCGCTAAATAAACACAACTCCGGTTTTCTAAGATTACATTTTTTCCTGGCTATCTACAAATGTTGCAACACCTTTAAATTTTAAGATTAAGCTGTCAGTTCTTAAGGCAGATTTTCCTGTTCTTAAGTTCCAAGGTGGCTAAGGGTATATAGGGCAGCATTAATTTTCCTACCACATAGCACTGCTCTCTTAATGGCTTAAATTCACTGCCCAGGAGGGGATAAAAAGATACTTCATACAAGTGCCTGGAATTCTGACCCAACTTTAGATTAATAGAGCCTATAAAACATCACACTTGATGCATATGATTCAAAATCTAATCTTGCTCGAACTAAGGCAATTAGGAAGGTAGTTTTTCCATGATGCTAGTCTTTGTGAAGATTTCTAGAACCCCATAAGAGTGCTTAGTCAGATAAATGCTAAAGCAAAAACGGCAGTAGCAACTATAGAAAAAGTAAATGCCATAGAGAGAGATTGTTGGTTTTTTTTTTATAATTACCTAACCCATTAATTTACTATAAAAGCCATATGGTAAAATTAAAATTAAAGGTCACAGCCTGCTTTAGATGCATAAAGTTAAAAATTAGAGAAAGTCATCAACAACTTATTATTCATTAAAATCATTGCATTCAGGAAATCTCTAAAAGCAGATTAGAACTTTGGAACACATGAGAGATTAATTTTTGCCAGTCTAACCCTTGAGAAGTTGGGGTCAGAGAAATAAAATTAATCATAAGTGAACAGGACCGGAGAGATAGTACAGCGGTTAAGGCACTTGCCTTGCATGCAGCTGACCCCAATTTGCACCCAGGTACAATATATGGTCCCCTAAGAACCACCAAGAGGGATTCTTGAGCAAAGATCCAGAAGAAAGCCCTGAGCTTCTTGACGTCAAGCCCAACTGCATCCCCCCAAAAGAAAAAATTGTCATAAATTAATAGTGTTTTATTCCTCCCATCATTGAGAAGAGTGGAATGATTGTTAGAAGTTTTTGTTTTACTACGTCATATACCATAATGTATGTGTGTGTGCTTGAATGTCTTTGAAATTAGCATGCTACTTTTCTAAGATAAACTCCTTAAGGACAGGGATGATTACATGATCCTCTTACATGCAAATTCTTAATAATGGTTATTGGATGCTTCACTCCCCACACATTTTGATTTCCCTTCTGTTTCTTCTTGAAGCAATAAAATTCTCATCATCTAACATGGCGAATAACTTTTCTGTATCTTGACTTTTAATATTCTCAAGTGCTTTTCCATCTGGAGAATCATATAACTTTACATGTATGTTAAAATCAAAAGATAAATTAAAATGCCAATTTTAAGTCAAAGTATAATAAAGATATGTCCTCTTATAATGGACATGAAATATAAACATAATGTATAAAAATAATAAATAATTGAGGGAAATGTAAGAGTATAGCAGGAATAGGAAGTGCTATTTCTCTCTCTCTCAATCCTTATTCTATATTTTCTGATGTTTCATGTGTAACTTTCATGTGTATCAGAGACTATAAAACCCAGTGCCCGGAAGAGAACAGTGCAGAATCTCCTGCCCCCGCGCCTGTCTGTCCTCGCCAGGGCCCCTTAGAGGGGGGTGGGTTGAGTTTCCCTACCAGCCCCAAGCAGAGCTCCAGCAGCCAAAGACCTCCAGAACCAGCAACCACCATGCTGAGACCACTGTTCACATGCATGAAGGTACCGGCAGAGGAACAAAGGCATGCGGGTTCCAGGGTTGAGATCTCCAAGCCTGCTGGAATCGGGGTTGAGTATCCTCCACTCAGATCCTCCATCTTCCAGTAAGCAGGGGTCACACCCACCAACTTGCTCCCTGGCGCCATGTAATCCCATCAACAGCCAAGACCCAGAGACTATAAAACCCAGCACCCGGAAGTGTGTGATCGCTCAAGATCTTATTATCTTATTCTTACTTTGAACAACCTGGCAGGCTACCAAACGTAACCTGCCCACACGGCAGAGTCTGGCAAACTCCCCATGGTGTACCCAATATGCCAAATACCAGTAACAATGATGGGTCTCATTCTCCTAACCCTGAAAGAGCCTTGAATATGGCACTTTTTAAAATCTCAGGGCTAGGACCAAGGAGACGTTACTGGGACCTGCTCGAGGCAATCGAGGAACAACAGGATGATCGTGATTGTGATCATGTGTAACTTTTAAAATATTAACTTCACCTCACAAATTTTGACTGAAATAAGAGCATCCTTCGATAACATGCCACATATAGGTAAAATAGAAAGCCATAATGCAAAATGCAGAGAATATTTAAAGCACAATGTCTTCTGTTGTTTTAAAGGTGCTCTAACCCTGCCTAGTGTCCACACATGACCGTTTCTCTCATTTCCTTTTGGTATAATGAATCACAATCTTTCCTGGCCAGTATGTCTTCCTGAATATGAATAAGAAGTAAAATACCACTTGATGTTTGAAATTATGGGGGTAATCCCAATGACGGAAATGGGTGACTGGCAAAAGGGAAGGGAATACCTGACTAAATACATTCATGAAGATGTCAAAGGTTTATAAAGCCAATATCTGGGAAAGAGAATGTTACAGGTCTACCTGATCATCTCTGGTGAAGAGAGTTTCTCGAAATTATCAGCACCATGGACAATAGAGGGTCATCACTAAAAGGTACGTGCTACTGAGACAGTGACTTTATTCACACTCCTCGGGATGGGTGTATTACTTGAGATGATAGCTAATATTTTCTCAGCAAGAAATTTCAAAGTTGGGAATAGTTCTCTAATTATTGATCTACAAAGCAATCATATGGTACAAGGGTGCCATAGAGATTCTTGATAGAGGAATCTGCCTTCTTCCAGAGACATTTGGTTAATGTTGGGATGTTTTATGGCTTCCTCAATGGGAGATGGAAGTTGCTATTTTATCTAATGTATCAAGGTTATAGATGCTATTAAATGTATGATATTGAATAGAATATTTCCCCAGAACAAGGAATTTTCCAGCTTAAAATGCCAATAATGCCAAGGTTGAAATAGCTTGTAATAGAATAAGAGTAAATAAATTTATGGGTCCAATGTATCACAACACCGGTAAAAGAAAGTTAGAGTATCTGGCTTCCAGGTCTCTTTATGGATTTGATCAAAATAAGTCGTGATGACTCTTTCATCTGTGAAACCGTAATTTATACAATGATAGTAGAATTTTCTCTAAATATCTGCCAATTTGGCTTACCCAATTGACATCTTATGAGGACAAACAGACTTGTAACTACTAATCACCTTTACTGGTTGAAATTTGTAAGACTAAAAAATTAGTAGCAACAATAAAAAAAATCATCTAAAATTTCATTTATTTTGTTTCTCTTAGATTGTGACAATCTTTCATGTGATAAATATATTAAAAAATTTAGACATGAAGAATAGCCTTTCAATTATGGGCTTTCTAGATCAACCCAAGTTTTCTACCTGAAAAACATTATTTTTTTACAGCCATAGTTTAAATAGACACTGAGGCTCCTATTTTAAATTTACAGTGAGACTACACTAGGGTTCACTACTGAGGCTAAAATACATTTTTTAAAACATCATGTTTTTGCCAGTTACATGAACCATTTCAATATGAAGTAGCATTTGGTATTGCAAATAAAATTCTTAAATTTACATTCTATACTAATAACATTACTAATTATTTGGTAGTATAGTTATTTAGGTTTAGCTAATTCTACAAATATACTTTTACACTTGCTTAGTTTTATCTTGCATTCCGAAAACACCTACCAAAGAGAAACCTTTGTTTTCTGATAAACACGTTTTTATATAACAGATATTTTTAAGTGGTTGATGCGATCAAAAAGAATTTTAACATGTTTCCTTTTGAATGTGTCACGATGCTTTTTCTTTGGAAAGTGTCCTTGTCTAGAATGCATGTGAGTTTCTGAGATCCATAATCTTCTGCTGAGATAACAAATAGATGACTACGTCACCCCTGATAGTTGTCTAAGGGAAAGTAGCGAGAAATCAACTTCCTAGGGCCACTTATGCAATTAAAAGCAAGGAATTGCTCTTTACAAGGTATGGGATTAACCTCTGTACACAATGAACCGTCTTGACGGAGCCTCACTCCATACACACAGAGCCCACAGGTATGTGTGATGTGACATGACAAAGTGACAAGAGGAGAATATTGGTTCCCAGTCTCCTCGGCCTGCTAATAACAGGTGTTGGGGAAACATCATTTAACCTCGTCAAGCCTCTCTTTCATCAATTTAATTTGATGATCGTAATGAAGTCAGAAGTTGGCTGCCTCCCTGAGTTACTGTGAAGCACAAAAATTTTGAAAAATTTTAAATCTCTTGGCAAAAGTGTTCAGCAGATGCACGGGGTTAATAATAGGAGTTGGTTATCAAATCTAAGCCAGAGTATTATTTTTATATTAGCATTATCTTATAGCATTAGAAATCACAAAATCTTGTATTTATTTTTATCAGGCAGTCAGCTAAAACAAACAGATCCACTGTACTGTTCTGGCCATTTCAATATCTAAAATGCAAATATTCAATATGTAGTTTGAAAAATATATAGACTTCTAAAATGTACTGCTGAAAACCCGCAGGAAAACCCCAAGACATTCAACTATCTTTAAAAAATGACCTAAGCACCCTGGTTCAGAATTCATTTAAGCTCCAAATGTTTGCAAAGTACAGAAGTACCCCTGGGAGCAGTACAAAAAAAATGCAGGGAGTCACCTATTTCTCCAGTTATATATCTGTGCAAATATAATTATATATCTAAATTTACACAGTGGAAGGTGTTGATTCTTCCCCACCCCAGCTATTAGAGTACCAAATAATGTGGAGGGAGACAGAGAGAGATAAGGCTTCCAGGATTACTTTTGATAACCTCAGCTGAATAGATCATCTCCATGGGACTCACATTTTCATTTAAGCAGGCTCCTTCCTGCTTCTGCTGCTGGTGGGGTCAAACCTCGTCCTGAGCAAGAGTGTGCCCTCGCTGTCCATCTGCCCCAGTGGGGCTGTCAACTGCCAGGTGTCCCTCCGAGACCTGTTTGACCGTGCAGTCATCCTGTCCCACTATATCCATAACCTCTCCGCAGAAATGTTCGCCGAATTTGTAAGTAACACACCTCTGGCTTCATCCAAGAGGGGACCTTCACATAAATAATAGGGGTGTATCATGGTCTAAGGGAGAATACTGCTTGAGACAGCTTTCCAAGAGTTCAATTTACTAGGGCAAAGAAGTCATCAGTTAATAAAACATGGAACAAGAAGAAAATCATAATGATTTTATGGAGTGCCTTTGAAAAATGTCCTTTCCTTCATTTCATTCTTTCCAATATTTCCCACAAAATTTAAACACATGGGTTCATCAGCTTGGACTTCCATTAGAGTACTGCAGAGTGGCTGATACTTAGACAATAGAAATTTATGTTCTCATAGTCAACAAACAGAAGACCAAGGTCAGGGAGTATAACACAAGTCAGGATCTATTGAGAGCTCTCTCAGCTTGCTGTCTTCCCGAGTCCTGGAAAGGAAGGTGGGAGAATAAAAGGAAGTAGTAGGGAGGAGAAAGAGAACTCTCTAGTGTTTTCCTCTGAAGGACACTCATCATTGAATCAGGGCTCCTTCTGATTAGTTCACTGAAACTTAACTCCATAAAGAATCCATCTCTCCAGATGTATTACAATGGGACATCAACAAATGAAATGGGGAGGGAGGAGATAAAGCTGACAAAAAGAGAGCTTTATTTCTCTTTTTTTTTTATCTCTCTTTATCTCTCTCTCTTTATTGCTTGCTTTTCCATGAGGGAAACACAAACCCTGGAAATTCTACACTTCTCACACTGTTAATGTCTATTGAACAAGAATTGCACTATGGCAAACTAGGTGTATTAAACAAAGTCAAAGTAAGCTGAATCCATGTCAGAAAAAAAAAATAAGAACATATCTGAAATGCTACAGTGTAAAGAATTAAAACTACAATGGAAGGACTACATTTAGAGCTGGAATCGATTGTTCTCTTTTCAATTAATACACTTGAAAATGTGTATGTCAACCCTTTCAGGTCAATCAAACAGCACATATTAGATTAGAACTTCAATGGATAATAAATATAATAAAGACCATGGCTCAATATAGTAATAAATACATTTATATAATTCTCTTCCTTATTTTTCTTTCACCATCCATTTTGATTGACTATCTTTTTTCTCTAAATCTGAGTAATATCTGTAAATACAAGTTTTGCTAAAGATTATTTTGCCAATGTGTTAGCTAATTTTTCCCCTATTCTTGGTGCCATGCTTAATATTTCTCGAAATAATGTCTTGTTTTTCTCCTTATTTTTTAATCACAATGAATCTAATTGTATTCAACATCTATAATGAACTTGGTAAGGTACAATGGTATGGTATCAAACCTAAATTATAATATTGTAATGCCAAGTTAGAAAAAATAGCCATTCAGATTTACAGTAAATAAGAGATTAACTGCCTTTAATACACTATAACATTTTGTTTAAATATTGAAGCAAGCTGGTACTTAACACTTTTAATGTTTCATAATTTGATGATGTTAGTATTTACTTTTCAAATAGTAAACAGTGGGAAAGGTGAAAGGAAAGAAAGGAATGGCAAATTAGGGAAGAAATTAACAATTTTTAAAGTTAGATTATAAAAGAAAAAGTTTAACGATCATGGACATAAAAGGTAGAGTGATTCTCTTGATTCTGTAGTTTGAATTTTTCTGAAGCCCTTTTTGCTTTTGGTTTGTTTGGGGATAAAACCCAGAAGTGCTAAGGATGACTCCTGGCTCTGGCTCAGAGATCAATCCTGATGGTGCTGGGTATTGAACCTGGATGGACCAGTCAAGTTAATGCCCCCCCTTCCGCCCCCACAGTACTATCTATTCCATAGCCCTGGATCTCTCATTTAAAAAAAATACTATACATCTGTCAAATGTACCAATATCCTATTAATCAATTTATTTAATGTTGAAATGGATCTAATTAAATGTGCTTGACCATTTCCAGGATAGACGGTATGCCCAGGGCCGAGGTTTTATTACCAAGGCCATCAACAGCTGCCACACCTCTTCTCTCTCTACTCCTGAAGATAAGGAGCAAGCTCAACAGATTCGTGTGAGTTCTTTATCTAGATTTTTCTCCAAACTGACAAAGTACCAAGTATCACCGTGTTGTAGATTATTAGGAGACTGGCAATAGGTAATGGGAATTGCATATTCAGAGAAAAGTGAAGGTTGGGCAAGCAGTCAGAGAAAAATTAATTCACATAATTGACCAGTTCGGAGCAAAATTAAATGTTGATAAACTGCAGCTGCAAAATAAATAAGAGATCTATATGCTCTTCATGCAGACATCACTTTGATTCAATGTCTTATGCCTAGGATCATGTTGATTATAATGTACGAAAGCTGAAAGCATGAACTAAATTGAACTTCCCTATGCAAAATATTAGGCATGATAAAAAAGAAAAGTGTGTGCTTTTATTTATTACTGCTAATAACTCCCCCATAGGCAGCGTTGAATGCTACAGACCACTGAAGCAGTTGACCCATCTCTTCTGAGTTTCCAAGGCTTTCCTTCTGATTCTACTTCCGTTTTCCTAATACCTACTTCTTCATGCTTCACTAAGTCCTCTGCTACTTCTCATTTTCAATGTCTCCCACCAAATCAGGGCCTATCAAACAGTCAGCATTACTTCTCACATCTGCAACTATTGTCACTATTAAGATGGCGTCAAGGTAGGCATATAAAAGTCTAATAATTTATAACAGCTCCAATGTATTATCATTGACAAAAAATGATATTTTTATTATTTATAATCCTTTTTTCTGCCAGAACCACATACTTAACATGATTTAAAATAAACATCCTCATCACATGTATAATTCCCAACAAATAGATTCTGCTCTCTCTTTAGAACTCTGTTAATGTTACCAGAATTCTGAGAAGATAATGAACAATAATTATGGTTATGATATTCATAATGGTGAAATGATGAAAGAAGGTAAATAGGAAAAAGAATTAGAATTTATTGAGTGCTATTCTATTTCCAGACAAATTATAAAATGCTTTTGGTTGGCAATTTACAAATTTGTTTTACAAAGTATTACATTTAATCCTACACACACAAAAAAAAACCCAAATATACAAAGTATTTCTATTTCTCTTGCTGAGAAAATAAAGTTAGATTTGGTGAGTTATGATGTTTTCAGCAGACATGTGGGTGGTAAGCAGGGAGTCTGGACTACCCAGTTCAAAACCTTTGCTCTTAAACTTCCCTCTTAATGGTAATGTCCACTGTCCTAGCACCATTTACTTTTACCTGGCATCTCCGTATTGTATGTTACATTCCCAGCTTTGTACATGTCTCCATTCAAATGTTCAGTTCTCCATTCTTTTCTCAAACTGCTAGAACTCACTATGTTCACAGGCACACGGCATAAGCAAGCATTTTAACGCAGTGATCAGTTCCTTGGGTTTTCATGCACCAGGCTGCTACCAGTACACTGAGCAAGAGAGACTAGGCAAAAACCTTCATGCGAATTCCACTCCTGCTGCTGTTATTGGAAAGAGCACTGTACCATGTCATTCACCTGCACAGGCCAATAAAGCAGACTTTTCTAAGAGCAACATCAAAGCAGGAGGAGATGTAGATTGAAAAATACTCTGTTTATGAATACATTGTTCATTCTCTTTGCTCTGACACACAAATGAATGTATTAATACACAATTTCCATTATTAATATGAATAAGACTTTGGGTTTTTAAAAATGGGCCTTTGTCATTGTCCCTTATAGGATCTATCTTCCTAAATCAGATAAAATAGGTACTACATAGTAAGTTCCAACAGTAATCTTTGGTGTCTCCCAAGAAAGAAAAAAAAATAGATAAAAGAACTTAGGGAGTGAGGGTTGATAGAATTTCAGAAGGAAAACAAAATTCTTCATATGATAAACTAGATCTCCCATTAGGAGTATTTATTTATATGTACCAGGGTATCTTTTTAATTTTAACAAACTATAAGCCAATGGTGCAAATTATATATTTTTGCAATGCTTATCACCTATCAACTTTTCACATGCACAAAGAAATGAAAAAAAAAGTATTTTTGGTCAACTGTAGGAGCTAAAATCACATGTAATTACATTCACTGTATGTTTATTTGCATGATATTTGCCACACGGTACATTAGCAAGAGGACCTTCTGAGCGTGATTCTCAGCATGCTGCGTGCCTGGAATGTCCCTCTCTATCACCTCGTTATGGAAGTGCGTGGGATGCAAGAAGCTCCGGATGCAATCCTCTCCAGAGCCATCGAGATTGAGGAGCAAAACAAACGCCTTCTCGAGGGCATGGAGAAGATCGTGGGCCAGGTAAGCAGAATCCTGATGCTTCCTTGTCTTCTTTTTCAAAGAGGTGACCTGTGTGGTGAGAGCTGTTTGGAAATTGCTGGCTTTGTAAAAGCACAACATTCAGGCAACCCATTTTCTAGATTGCTATTAAGAAAAGCAAAAGCACAGTGACTTACAGTGATAGTCTACTGTAAGACTCTTAGCAGTCTACTGCAATATTTGACAGGTGTAGCCTTCCCAAACACTTCCTAGAAGTGATTGGGAAAATGGCAAAATAGTTCATATTTTCGGGGCTGGAGCAATAGTACAGTGGGTAGGGCATTTGCCTTGCAAGCGGTCAACCTGGATTCGATCCCGGCATCCCATATGGTTCCCCGAGCACCACCAGGAGTAACTCCTAAGTGCAGAGCCAGGAGTAACTGCTGAGCATCACTGGATGTGACCCCAAAAAGCAAAAAAAAATTTAAATATGAAAATATGAAATATTTTATATTTTAAATATTAAATTATGAAATATTTTCAAGGGAAAGAAAACTAGAAAACAGAATCTGCAGGATGAATCTTTCTCTCAATTAACAGTGGACACTCCCTACTTATATACCTTCTCTTTTCTCCCCAAACTGTGAAGAGAGAACGGGAAGGAGAGAACATAACATCAAAGACAGGTTGATTTCTATTTCCCCCTTTTGTATGTATTTGTCAGGAAGGAAAGAGGTTGAACGGAGGAGGCCAAGGTATCCACAGTGTGTCACAAGCAGTTTGTTTCAGTGAGCCCAACAAAGAAGAGGGTACATCTTTTCTGAAATAATTTTTATTTTGCAATTTACGAAAAGTTGTCTCATCTAAATTTGTTTTGCTTGGGGCTCCAAATCAAAATACATACATATCATTAGATTTCATTTCCCCAAATAGTATGTCATATTTTGGTGAATACAGACAATAATGCATCTCAATTTTCGATGGGGCGATTTCAGCATGAGAGAGGTAACATCGAAACAGCTTTCAAGGGTCTCAGAAATAATGTATTATCTAAAGGAAAATATATGATTACAGTACTAATAATAGGAGCAATTTTATATTTCTCATATTGTGTACAAAGTACATGTCATCTTCTGTCATTTTGTCATTTCATAGAAGAAGATCTCCAACAAAAGTACAAATCATATTTTAACCTAGAGACATGAAATAAATGCGTGGATTTTCAAGTTATTTTCTACATGACTGTGGGCCTACTTTCTGAGGTCACTCATTTGTTCTAGAACACCACTTCATTTTCTGGTTCATTTTAAAAACCATTCATTTATACTTGTTTCTTGCACAGTGAAATTTGTTTTAGTCCTCAAGTATCAAACGTCATAAAGGAAAGCAATAAGCATGCAAGCACACACAGACAGAGATGTACATAGCACACATGAGCACATGCATGTGCACGCACGCACGCACACACACACACACACACACACACACCACATACACCACTTCAATAGTGATTTTCAGATTTAAATAATGTTCTTCTTTGCAGAATAAAGTTAAAACATGGCCTAAAGTCATCCCATGTTTGTAGCAGGGAACTCTCCAACCTGGTTTCACAACTGATGACAGATTTCTCAGATGTGCAGGAATCTCAGAGTACTAATGGAGTATTAAGACAAAGATATAAAGCTCATCCTTCAGGCTACCCAGTATTCTTCTGTTATCACAATCTCCTGTCCACCTTTCCAATCATCCTTTACTATACAGGATGGGGCTGCTATCCACACCTCCACATCTCATAGCTACCTTCTCCAGTACCTCCCATCCCAGAGACCTCCAGGGAAAGCAGTTAGACATCATAGAAATTTTAAAATTATCTATCTGTGGTGGACAGATAGTATATATCCCCTTGGCACTATAGCAGCTTACATTAAGGTAAAGATAAAAGGTAAAGGTCCTCCCGTTGTTCATCGATTTGCTCGAGCAGGCCCAGTAACGTCTCCATTGGAGACTTTGTTGTTACTGTGTTTGGCATATCAAATACGTCACGGGGAGCTTGCCAGGCTCTGCCGGGCAGGCGAGATACTCTCGATAGCTTGCCGAGCTCTCCGAGAGGGGCAGAGGAATCGAACTTGGGTCAGCCATGTTGGCCGCGTGCAAGGCAAATGCCCTGCCGCTGTGCTATTGCTCCAGCCCCTTACATTAGTCAATAGATTACCTGCACTCTAAAATATCAAATACAATCCTCATTCCATCAAAGTTTTTGGTACATATTCTATATAGGGGATATAATTATATCCCCTGGAGTGATAGCAGGGCTGAAGCATTAGCACAGCGGGGAGGGCATTTGCCTTGCACGCAGCCAACCCAGGTTCGATTCCTTCACCCCTCTCAGAGAGCCCAGCAAGCTACCAAGAGTATCCCGGCTGCATGGCAGAGCCTGGCTAGCTCCCTGTGGTGTATTCAATATGCCAAAAACAGTAACAAGTCTCACAATGGAGACGTTACTGTTGCCCACTCGAGCAAATTGGTGAACAACCGGAGGACAGTGCTACAATGAAAAGACCAAAATAATTATATTAAAGCAGAAAACAATAGGCACAATTTTGGTGACCTTTCAAGAGAAATAAAGTACATAGAGCACATGTGAGACAAGAGTCAGGATATGACTTCCCCAAATAGAATTGAGATCAACGCCTAATAGAATTGAGATCAACGCCTCTTTCATCCCTTAATTCACATCTGTATTAAAATCACAACTTTCTGGTTCCCCATCTCTTTACTCCTACACAAACAAGATTGATCTGTGGTCACATCCATTTGAGAAAACTTACATAGATTTCAGGTTACTGAAAATAACCAATGTAATTATTCATGACTCTGGAGTTGTATTTTCATCTTCATTCAGCAATTAGGAGAAATGAAGATAAACAAAGGCCAATAATACTAATAAAACATCATGATCTTTTTGGTGCTCAGGTTCATCCCGGAATAAGAGAAAATGAAATCTACTCTGTGTGGTCAGGACTCCCTTCTCTGCAGATGGACGATGAGGACGCCCGACTCTTTGCTTTCTATAACCTGCTTCACTGCCTACGCCGGGATTCGCATAAGATTGACAATTATCTCAAGCTCCTGAAGTGCCGAATGATCTATGACAGCAAATGCTAAGCCCACATCCATTCCATCTATTTCTGAGCTGGTTCTTAATGATCCATCCCTTATAAGCTTCTTTTAGTTTTATAGCTTTTTAATGCATGCTTGGGGGTAATGGGTCTCATCTTAAAAAATAAAAACTGACTCCTCAGAGACGTCAAACTCTAAAAAGGCAATTTGTCAAAGTTTCTTGTTTTCACTTTGTGAAATACATCGCTGCCATGAAGAAACTCCTATTAAAATGTGTCACAAGTTTGTCACAAATAGCATAAACTGGCATTGCAAATAAGACAATTAACAGCTTACTTTAGCATCATAGCAAATGATAGTGAGTCAGGTTGTTAGAATCAAAGAATTAGATGATTATCACTTGTGTGGGTCATACTTCCAAGAGACTCAATTCTCAGGATTCTTTATGAAAGTCAGCCACATAACTATTAGCTTACATTTTAAGAATTATGACCCAGAATGTAAGATTAGGAAACTAAACTATCATGTACCCAAATAACATGATTTTTACTCAACAGTCTCAAAATTAGAAGGAAAGCTGCCTTCATCCATTGTACTGTAACAAATACCACAAGCAAAATACCACAATCAAAAATAATTTATTTTTTATAGTTCTGGAGACCGGAACTTTAAGATTCAGGTATTAGTATAATCAGGTGAGGGTCGCCTTCCAGGTCATAGAAGAAGGCCTAGGGAGTTCTATGGGTCTAGTTGAATCATGAAGAATTCTATGCTCTTAATGTCATACCCTTTCAAAGGTCCCCACCAACAAATACCATTGTCTTCAGAGCATAAGTTTTTAACATATGAATTGGGAAGTGCACAGATTCATACTATTTCAGACACAGACATGAATGTTTTGATCATTCTCCTGTAGCTGTCTTCAACCATGTTCCACTGAACTATTGCCTCAGCATCATGGACACATCCAATATTCTAATCATTCTGGGTTTAACAAGTCCATGAAGGTCAAATTTTAACTCTGCATTAAACCCAACTTACTGAACACTTTACTTCTCTCTATTTTAGTTCAAGGGGTGACGATCACTGTGGTTTATTTATTTATTTGATATTTTTAATGAATCACCATGAGATACAGTTACAGACTTACAAACTTTTGTGATTACTTTTCAATCATACAATCCCTCCATCAGTACCCATCCCTCCACCAGTGCCCATTCTCCACCAGCAATGTTTCCAGTATACCTCTCACAACCCCACCAACCCCCACAATCCCTGCCTGCCTCTGTGACAGACACATTCCCTTTTACTCTCTCTCTCCTTTTGGGTGTTATGGTTTGCGATTTACAATAATCAGAATCTGGGAAAAAAATGCTGTGGTCAATTTTTAAAGCATTTTTCTCCTTCCCTCTTATATTCCTTTGGAAGGAAGATGAAGAGATATGAAAAATTGGAGGACATCACTGTCTTGTGTTGAGTGACTGAGAACTTCTTGTAGTTAGTTGACAGGAACTAACCTTTAATTCCCCTCTAACAGGTAAATGTCTTTATGGTGAGGTTTTTTCTGCTTTTCTAGCATATCCTTGGGATGGTTTCTTAACAGGGGAAATGTTCTGGAGTGATTCTTCTATCCACCCCATAGCTCTGCCTTCTGTAGTATCCTCACAATCTCTACAAGCCCCATACTGGAGAAAATTTGCTTAATGTCAGCCAACTACCAGCTGATCTAGAGGAAATTCATGCACCATAACAACTGGGCAGCGATTATACCGAAGCTCTTCTGACCTCTATCTATGTCTTCTGACAGTTCTCTTTGTCCTGTTCACGTAGACCCAGAACAGAAATTTGGATCCATAAGCAGACATTAACCTAAGAAATAAAATGTCAGTCTCTCCTGCTTTTAGTACAAGAGAGCAGTAACCTCTACCATAATTATCCTAAGTCATACCTACAAATACTTCCCAAGAAGTTACTGAATTATGACACTCTGCTTGGGTAGCCTTCCTGGAGAAGTGCCTGAATTAGAGTAGCTAATTGTTCTACTGCTTCTGAATAACCAGGGTGATGGGTGAATCTCTGATACCTCTCCTTAAAAGGCAGTGATATTGTCAAGCTGTTTGTACAGATATTTTCAGCAGTTTCAGGGCATCAGAAGACACTGCAAGATAATCACAGTGGGAAATGTTCCATCAGTATCTTGTTAGAAATCAAACAATCAGGTGTAGTGGGAAAAAAATGAAGGGAAAGAAAGGAAGAAGGAGTTGGAGTGAAAGGAAAACAAGAAGGGAAGTAAAAGATTTCAATTTAGGGCCAGAGAGAAAGTACAGTATGAATAGAGCCTTGTATACCAGGTTCAATCCTTCGGCATCCAATATGGTCCCCTGAGCACCATCAAGAATAATTCCTGAATGCAGAACCAGAAGTAACCAACCCCTGAGTATCGCTGGGTGTGGCCCCAAGAAAACAAAGGAAACATATGGTGTTGAGGGCTGGGGAAATAGCTCAAAGGATTGGAGCAGATGCTTTGCGTGCTGTTCAACCTCCATAACTGCACACCCCCTCAAAAACTGCCAATAGAGACCCCTGAAGACCAACCCAGCAAAAGCCCCCACAATGCAATGGGGCGTGGCCAAAACAGAAAACAAAATGAATAACATTTAGGCATGAGACATGAAATATTATTAAAATAGACATTTGTGGAAGACAACTTTTTACAACCCAAGAGAAAATATCTCTTATATTCCTCTTCCTCTACTTTCCTCCTTCTTTTATGATTTCTCTTTTATTGAGAGTATCCACTGGCCTCAGTCACTGATGGGCAATAGTACTTGAGAAGAGCAGGACCTGCCATTCCTTCTGACTGGCGATGAAGGGAAATTTCTTCGGCCATGCAAAGAAGCATTTTCCATGTGTACAGGAACTCTGTCCAGAAAACCCAATTTCTTCCCTTATAACCGGGGTTATTTTTGTCTGCATCCTGGTTCTGCCTCTACATGTCATGACCCAAACCTTTCAGAACACAACAGAATACTCTGCCCCCAACCAATCTATCAATCTCTCTTTCTGCTCCTGGAGGCATGCAAAATGTCAACTTTCTCATATTTCAGCTTTCTTCTTGTAAAAGGCATGAAAGTATGAGAAAAACCTCCATGCACTTTCTAAGTCAGTTATTGCTGAAAACATCTAATATTATTGTTACCTACTTCCCTCTCTTTCCTCCAATTTCAGACATTTCCAACAGAGAGGCTAGCATTTAACAGGGGTGAAATTTGGCAATAAATGACAATGCAATTGTAAGACACCTAAGTTCACCACTCTCCCACAACACACCTTCGTGTATTCTTCTCTTTTTAAGCCGAGCACAAATTGAAAGCTTCGCATCAACATCCGAGGCAGTGATATTAAAAGGCCTTTCCCTTTGTGACCATGACATATAAACTGAATGCTGAAGTTTTCAGACAGGATTGTATAGAGCCATGGGAGTTCTGTACAGTCAGCAAGGAGAGAAGCTAGGGAGATGACAGACGGGAAGACTGTAACAATCACTTCTCTTCCGTCTGCCAAGAGCCTATTTTCCCCCTCCGTTACAGATTTCCATGTAAGACTATATTTGAAGACATCATCCTGCTAAAGCAAGCATACTAACGTCAATAACAACACAGAAACAAATAAAATGCCCTTGAAATTCACTAACTGCGTGGGTTAGTAACTCATGGGTTACATGAACCATAAGGACTAAAGGGAAAAAAATTATTTAATGTCTTCTAAAAGTTTGCCCGTAAGTTGTAGAAAAGCAGAGGGTAACAGAAACATGCAAATTGCTCTGCTTTAGGGTAGAAAAAAATCACAGAGCCATACATACTAAATTGCAGTGGTGAGTGATAGGACAGTAAGGAGACATCTGAATGGAAAAACAGGGCATTTTTTTCCCTGGAGTGACATGATTGTGTTGCAGTTTTGAAAGTTTGATGAACAACAACAACAAAAAAATTAAAAGACAGCATATGAGTTAATTCATTTCGAACCCTTTAATGAGGTGGATACTTTCTGCAGCCTGAGCAAGAAGGAATAAGATCTTATTACAGATAGTATCACAAGGTAGCAACAAATAATCAAGTTTGGCCCAAACACAGAAATTATTCATTATTTTATCAGGCATAGAATAGCTCTCATTACTGTGTCCTCTTGATGGATTTGGTTTATGGGACTGTTTTATGGGTTTATAGGACTGTTGATGCATTGTGGGACATCATTTGTGCCAGTTTGGAGAATTTGTTTTTATTCTACTAAGCATTGGGAAACCGGTCCATCTTTGAACATAGAAACAATATGTCCAAATTGGCAAATAGAGACCTTATATGGTTTGGAGGACTGTGAGAGTGTGTAACTGGTAGTCTAAAAGAAGATATCCACAAACAAAGGTAAATATTATTCTGACACTCTCAAGGAAAAATCAGAGAGTGCTGTAAGCAGAAAGAAGCAAAGGAGAAGAGAAACACAAAAACACTCCAGGGACAGTATAAAGCAGTGGTAGAAGTCAAAAAGACATCCAAGTACATGAAACCAGATGAGGAGAGATGAGAAGAATAGAAACAGAGAGAATAAGTTAAGGTTGTGTCCAGAGGCATCTTAATTTTATTTTCCTGTTTTTCATCAACTTTGTACCAGAAACATATAAAAGGTTATTGGAGAAAATATCAGAAATGAGTACACTCAAAAATCTCCCCTAAACTATGTCAGATACTGGAACAAAGGCAGTTAAACTACTTAGTAATGACACATTGTAAGTTGCTAGTCCCTGCCCTTAAATAGGATAAACATTGTAAATCACAGTGGATGTCTAAAAATCAAGTGAAGACAACTCATTTCTTTACAAAGTCAGCCAATGCAAAAGCTAAATAAAATGTAGGTAATTCTTTCCTTTCAATATGTGCCAATTTTCTCCAAGAGTTTCTTACTTTCATTCTGAATCTACCTATTTCCTCTCCCTTCATTGTTTTACTCTCAGCAGATGGTCAGTTAATGGCTAATCAAAGAAATAATTAAAATGTACCACCCCTAAGATAATATTCATCTGTAAGGACTCTTGAAACTGCAAAGCTTTTTAATCCTTTACAAAGAAAATGTTAATAGTGGAATGGTTCTTCCCCCATCATCTTTCAGTAATACCCAGTAGACAAACATAC